TTATCTTGGTCTTAACCATCCAGCAGAAAAGTATAAAAATGAAGTATAAGAAGTAAAGCCATGCTGTTATGTTGAGCTGTAGGGGACTCAGGTCAAGAATTTCTGACATTGCCAGTCAAGCGGAAGCCCCAATACTATTATGGACTACTGGACTCTTTTAGAATATTTTGCTGAGTTAACACACCTATACTATTCAAATGACGGAACTAAACAAAAAAAGGGGATACCGATGAATGTCCATTTTGTATCTGTGTATTCAAAATGGTTAGGATAGATATATAGTTACATTCTTTTAATGGATAGAGGGATTTGTTCTAATAGAGTTTGTAAATAAGATATCATGTCCGCTCTTGTACAGCAAATAACCACTAGGAAGAATGTATGCAATGTGTTAATTATTGAAACTGTCCTACCAATTTGATTTGAACCTGTCTCATTGCTATTTATCAATAAAATTATGGGGGGAAAAATAGTACGCGTGTGAATTTGGGAGGATTAGGGAGGATATTTTTTCCCCTGCATTAGTTCTGCTATTCAAGTCATAGTAGTAGCAAAGTATTCTTTTTTTATTGTTGTTGTTTTGTTTTGTTTTTAAAGAGGAAGGACAAATTTTAAGGGAAAGATTGTTTTATTAACTCTGACCTTGAGTGTGTGCTTTTATTCTTTATGAAGCTACTTCATCTACTTTAATAAGTTAGACACAGGAAGATACTATTCACCAAACTATCCCTTAACCTACCATGTGGACCCTTCATTCCTATACTCATCTTTCTTATTGTTCACTTCTCTTTGTATTTGTAAGGATATCTTTTCTCCTTTTATTGTCTTCTTTCCTCTTGTCTAAATAAGAGACTCTTTATAGATTGTATAAGTGGGTAAAGATATATATGTTTAGCTATGAAGCTGTGATTTCTTTTTTGTTTCTGATAAGTTTTGAATGGCTGTTGTAGAAAATTGTTATTTTTATGTAAAGGGAATCTTTTTATAGCCCTATTTATTTATAAAACATAGTATGGATTGTGAAACCATTATCCGAGGACAAAATTGCAAGCATGATTCTTTCTCTTTTCAAAAAAAAAAAAGGTTTTTTATGGGGTCTGCCAGTTAGCTCAGTTGTTTAAGCACCTGCTCTTGCAAATGCAGTCAGGTGCGGGGGACCGTGGTTCAATCCCCATGTCCACATGCCTTACCGGACCCGCCCTTAAGGCAGCCTGAGCTAACTGAAAAAAAAAAAAATCCTTCTTAAAAAAAGTTATAGTTGTCACTTGACTTAAACAGAAGTTTAAGAAAAAAGTACCATATGCACACCCACAGATAATTTGCAAATAAAGTGCTTGTGTCATTTCCTCATAACTTTTCAAGCATTCTCTTTCATTAAATTCTCAAAATATTAAATATTTGTGAACCGAAACTTCTTTTTAAATATAAAATATATTTTCCCTATTTTAGACACTTTTCCAGTTTGATGTTCCTTTTGTTTCACCATAATTTTTTTTTTTTTTTTTTTTTTTTTTTTTGCGGAACCGGGGATTGAACTCAGGCCCTTGCGATTGCCAGGGAAGTACTTACTCCACTGAGCCATCTCTCCTCAGCCCCCCCCCATAGTTATTTTCAAATCCCAGCTATACAGCATTTTTAATGATCCAGATAAAAAGTAATGCAGAAGTAGAAAGGGCTTGAAAGTAGAAGTCAGAAATTTTAGGCCCTCCCCCCCAAAAAAAAAGAAAAAGAAAATTTAGGTCCTAGTATTTATAAATGGATACTATAAGTAAAAGTTGCCATGTTTGGCTTATATAGTTGTAAGAATTAAATAGAACATGCTTAAGAATACTAAAAGCTGTTAATTATTGTACAAATGTAAAATACATTTTACCGGTGGTCAAGGAATCACTTTTAGCCTTATATGCCTTTACCAAAAGGCAGATGTGAAAGTTTTAAAATACTAGTTATTCTTCTTTAAAAAAATTTTTTTTTCTCATTTGTTCGCTTTTTCATACAGGATTTAATACCCTTCCCATAGACAATCCACAGCAAGATAAGAAAAGGCTTTGAAAATTTGGTCTAAAATGGAAGTATTTTATTTATTTCAACAAATGTATTTCTATCACTCGTGAGTTTGCTAAAGGATTTAAGGGTTCCAGGGCTAAAGATGTGAAATATAATTGACAAATACTGTGAATATTAATGTGTTTGTTTTCTTTTTAATGTATTATAGTAAAAGGCACATTGCCATTGGTCCCTCTCAAAATACATTGTTACTGTTGAACATGCTTAGCCATCATCACTGGTGCTTCCTGAAACAGTTGTGGAAGTTTGCTTTCATATTTTTAGTTGTGTGTTGTGGTTGACTCAATGTCCTGATTTTGATTCAAAATATTTTCTTTTCATGGCTGTTTTGATTCTGAGGAAAGCCAGAAATCACACAGGGCCAGATCTGGTAAGGTGAATGAGATTTTTATGAGCCTGTCTTTCCATTGGATGAAATTGGCAGCAATCTTTGCTGTATTTTTGATAATGCTTTACAAAAGTCACAAAAGAAGTCTTCCAGAACTGCTTCAGAAAGTTGCAAGGATGATAGGATAAGTGCATTCAAAGTGATTGGGAGTATTTTGAGGGGAAATAATCAATAACACTGTCTTTTTTTTTTGTATTTTATTAAGAAATAAATAGCAATGAGTTTTAAAACTGATTAGTCAGACAGTGTCAATGATTAATACATTGCAGATTGTTGTCTTCATAGTGGTTATTCATAGTACAAGATGCAGACATGATATCATGTCCAAAAACTACTAGTACAAATCTTTCTTGTCATTTGAATTAAGAGAAAGTAGCTGTATGTCTATCCTATTATGTATATACAGATACAAAGTGGTCCTTCATTTGTATCCCCCTTTTTTGTTTAGTTTTGTCAGACATGGGTTATTTCATTGCCATTTAAATACTGTAGGTGTGTAAATTCAGCAAAATATTCCCATATAGTCCAGGAGTCCATAATAGTAGTGGGTTGCCTATAGGATTGGCAGTGTCCGAAGTTGTTGACTTAAGCCTTTTACAGCTCAGCATATTAATATGGCTTTACTTTATATACCTCGTTTTTATATTTTTCTGCTGGATGGTTAAGACCAAGATAAAGTAAGACCTATATAACAACAAATGTAACTTTTGTATCTGCCAGGGTCAGTCAAGTCCCCTCAGCATTTACCCTGAAACCCTGTACCGCAGTTTGTAGATCCTTTGTCAGTGTCAGCCATGTGGAAGATTCATAGCCATTGCTTGGCCAGTTTGCTCTCTATGAAAGCCTGAGAGAATGTTTTCTCTCCATGTGACTTTCCTTGGGCACACTCTACATCATCGATCACTTTCATTTGTGGACCCATAATTTCCTTGATTAGTAAATTTGGGACACAACTGAGTTACAGGATGTTACAGTACAAGTTCTCCTATGTCCTGAGTTCTCACTGACCTTGAAAGACTAGGGTCAAAATGTTGGCTGTCCTTGTAGCCCTTCTTTTCTCTAATGTTTGGCCTGTAAACTTAAGTGTTAACCCTCCAGAAGAGAAGCTTAACGATATTATTGTCCTATAACATAGGCAGTTGAGCTTAACCTCACTATCTGTCTGAATATCAAATATCTTAGATATAACATGGAACAGGTATTTCCCACCAAATCCCTACAGAAAGTGAAGGGGAAAAAAAGAAAAAAATTTAAAAAATAAAAAATATTTTAAAATATAGGAATAAACAATTACATATGTTTACATAGAAATTTAGAAATCTAATCATATACAGCATTATAGCAGGACAGTTCTGTGAGTTTTTTTCTTATCTCTTGTTTTCATTTATTACCCTTTTTTTTAAACGAACATTTACTTGAGAGACAGTATGGCAGTAATTGGTATGACATGATAAGCAGTATGTATTTAGAAGACCAGAAAGACAGGCATTCCCAAGCATGACCCTAGTATTACAGTTTTCTATCTTCAGTGCAGTTTCTTAGTTCACAAGTATCAGCATATATAGTCAAGGTGAGAATCCTACCAATTAACTGCTAGTTTCAAAAACCTGCTGAAGATTCTCAGGATCATTGCCTTAAAACCATCTTG